GCAGAACTGGCATCGTGGTCATCAAAAGAAACAGAGCCTGCAACTTCAGGGCAATTCATGGGTTTAGAAGGTAATTCGCAGATTTCACAGCGAAAGCCCCAACTGGCATCTGCGTCCCAAACCAAAGCCCGGTGATGGCTGAAACACACTGAACAACACTGTAGACGTTTCAGAGGCCCTAAAGCGCGAGCCTGGGCGGAAGGACCGCTTTGCAGAAAGGCCTGGGCCAAGGGTCGAAAAAACCGATCAAAACGAAAGCCCCATGTAATGTAGGGGTTTAAGCTGAGCCTCTTTGCATTCCCACCTGTCGCCCTTGTTTACACCGGTACACCGTTACACTATGAAACGCAACTTTACACTTCAGCCTCCGGGTTGTGATACAAGAGGTCCTTCACATAAACAAGGAGCTGAAAGAGATCCCCTCCCAGAAAATGGCAGCACAGGAAAAATCGATCCATGAGCTCTACTCTACTCACTCTACTCACCTCCTTACCCCTTTCTGCGAATCATCAACCACCCCACGCGGGTTGGATTTCAGGATGGAGAAAGCGGAATTTCAACTTGGAAGGCACCCCGACCGCCTCGGACCTTGTTTTCAACGATTCCACAGTGAGCTCCAGGATTCGGAGCAATTACAGTTCGGATCAGTTCGGGGCTCAGGGCAACTCAGATTGAAACCCTGGACTCCGCAGCGTTGCAACTAAAGCGCTGTAGTGGCCAACGTCGCCGCCGCACCGCCGGCGACGGCTAGCGCGGTCTTCTGGCCTCTGCACGGTTTGCTCGGAGGAGCTTTTGGGAGGGTTTTGGAGGGAGGCGGTTTACTTCTAGTCTTCACTCAGAACTCGTCTTCTATCTGCTGCGACCCATGCCAACTCTAAACCCCCCAACCCTAAACCTAAACCCCAAGACCCGGGTAAATTGTCAGAAGGGTTCAATAGGGCTTGGTAAAGCCATTGCCTAGGACCCGATACTGAATAGACTCTTTCTTCGTCAACACCCAATATTCTTCTGCTTATTATTCTTCTTATTTGTCTGCTTCTTCTTCTACTTCTTCTTCTACTTCTTCTTCTTCTTCCTCTTCTTCTTCTTCTTCTTATTCTTCTTCTTCTTCTTCTTCTTCTTCTTTTTCTGCTTCTTCTTCTTCTGCCTTCTTCTTCTTCTTATTCTTCTTCTTCTTCTTCTTCTTCTTCTTCTTCTTCTTCTTCTTCTTCTTCTTCTTCTTCTTCTTCTTCTTCTTCTTCTTCTTCTTCTTCTTCTTCTTCTTCTTCTTCTGTTTCTTCTTCTTCTTCTTCTGCCTTCTTCTTCTTCTCCTTCTTCTTCTTCTGCCTTCTTCTTCTTCTCCACCGTCTCTCTCGCTCTCTCTCTCTCTCTCTCTCTGTCTCCTCCTCTTCTTCAGAGCTTGAGGGGCCCGAAGACCCCGCAAGCCGAGCGCGCCTGCGTTGTGCCGTCTGCGTGAAACTGTACACGCAAGAGTCTGTCAACCATGGTAAGCCCCAGGTACGTCCCTGTCCCGCATGGTGGTGCCCCTCGGCACCTATGCGAGTACTTGCATGTTAGATGTGATAAATCTAGCACGCAAACAGGGAGAATCAAGCTGCTATAGCTCAGTTCCGATTCTTCAAGGTTGTTGAGTACAGATTCAGGAAACTGCTTGCAGTCGCCCATGCTCGAAAGAATCTTCCTCTGGTAGGGTCAGCTAGCAGCCGGCTTGCTACGCATTCAACTTCCAGTTTTTGAGGCCAAATGAGGCCAAACGGCCTTATGGGCTTTTGCGGCCCTCAGCTCTCAAGAACAAATCTGAAGTCGACAGTGATCTTCTCTGCACACCACCTGCACAACACCGTCGGGCCTGCGAACAAAACCGATACCAATTGCTGGCCCCTAAAATTGCTATGGCCGCTATGGTTGTTTGACATGTTTTCAACAAAGCTCTGCGCATCGAGGAAAAGGCTGTGGGAGGACAGCCATGGCTTAGCGTTTTTTTCTCGTTCACAGCCTTGGCCAATCGACCGAATCTTGAACCTGCAAACCTTGTCTTCTGGTCTTTTTTGTTCTACACCTTATCAATTGCAGCTATGCAGCTAAACACATCGTGGGAAGTCCGTCCTAGACCACAATGCACGGTGCTTTGCACAGCCCCGCATGGTCAACCTGGTCCGTCAAGTTTCTTCTGGTCATCCGCTAGGTGCCCATCCCCTCTTACTGATCGAACTCGTGTAGGGCTGCGGCAGATTGGCCGGCAACCACCTAACTTAGTCACCGTACACCAGATCATCATGTCTCTTCGTTGTTGAAACCCTCACCCACTCCCCACAAACCTTGAACCTCCTCAGCTTTGTCGGCATTTCTGAGGCCCGCACTTGAGGGCATGGTGCGACTGAAAGGAAAATGTCACTACCCAAGCCCCAGCCTGCCGCAAGAGCCTCTTAAAGCCTGCGGTTGGGTTCACAGCGTGTTGCAAGCCTGGATCGGGCATTCACACGTTCCCCTGGCACAGCCTGAGTCATTCCTTTGATTAACCTTCAAGCAGTCAGTAGTAAGTAGAAATAGTAGTAGTCGTCATCGTCGTCGTCGTAATCGTCGTAATCGTCGTAATCGTCGTAATCGTCGTAATGTTGACTTCACATTAGGAATTCCCGCTACAATTATAAAATCCAGCTGCCGGAACACAATAATGTAACCCCCCACAATTATAAAATCCAGCCCGGAAAACTACTAGTGGTACTACTACCTAATACTAAAACTAATAGTACGTCCTACCAGGATTTAGGCGAATATAATTGAGGAGGCCCTGGCCGGAGAGATTGATCAATCAAGGGGGGGGGGGTTATTAATGCGAAGTCAACATTAATCGTCGTAATCGTCGTAATCGTCGTAATCGTCGTAATCGTCGTAATCGTCGTAATCGTCGTAATCGTCGTAATCGTCGTAATCGTCGTCGTCGTCGTCGCCGCCACCGCCGCCGTCGTCGTCGCAATAACCCGTCGTCGCAATCGTCTTAATAATCGTCGTCGCCGTCGTCGCCGCCGCCACCCGTCGTCGTCGGCATCGTAAGAATCTTCGTAGTACTGGTACTGGTACTGGTACTGGTACTGGTACTGGTACTGGTACTGGTACTGGTACTGGTACTGGTACTGGTACTGGTACTCGCACTGGCACTTGTGCTCGTACTCGTACTCGTTGCCGCCACCGGCGCCGCCGCTGCCGCTGCTGCTGCTGTTGTCGCAGTTGTCGCGGTAAACGTGGTCGTCGTCGTCGTCGTCGTAGTTGTTGTTGTTGTCGATCCAAGCAGATTGGGTGCTCCTTTACCGCATCCTGTTACAAATAGCTTAGATCCTGCATCCAGCAGTGAGGTTGGGCCTCGAGTTTAAAGCTCAGGGCATAACAGGCTCGAAAAAAGCCCGAGCTTGCGGATCAAAGATCCCAATCCTTGCCTGCACCAGTGTTCAAGAACATGCCTTCGGGACATGGGATGGAAGATGCACTCGGCTCTTTTTCGCTGGCCTGGGTTCTGTACACTGGGTCAGGTTCTTGTTTGGGGCTTGCTCTTGGGGGACTTGGGTCACGAAGATGAGCTGCGTGGGATGGTGCATCCCCGCATTAAAAGATTGGACCCAAGGTGCCGAGGCAGTGGAGATGCCAGTCTTCTTACCGTCGCTGTGCCGCCCTTGCATGTCAAAAGCTGCTCGAGCTGCTCACGCAAGGCCGAACTGCTCGATGGCGTCCTTGCCCGTGTAGACGTTGGCGGCGATGATGCCGATGGCTGCGAACATGGCCATGCGGCCGTTGTTGATCTCGCGGTTGCGCATCTCCAGCGTGTACTGGCCCAGGCCCGCGGGGTCGCCGAAGTTGCCCGGCTCCTTGGAGGGGTCCTCAGTCCAGGCGCCCAGCTCCAGCAAGCCCGAGACCGCGAAGAGCGCCGCGAAGCCGTAGGTGCCCGGCGGGACCTCCACGGCGCCGAGTCCGGCAGGCACGCTGTCGAAGCCCGGGAACTTCACGTAGTGCTGAACGACGGCACCCACCGCGGCCATCATCGCAACCCTGCCATGCTTAATCTCGGCCGCTCGCAAGTTGCGGAAGCCGGCCTTATCGCCCTTCTTGCAGAAGCCAGCCGGGTCGAAGTATCCGAAGGGCTCGGTCACGCCCACCTCGGTGGCCGGGTCGAAAGTGGGCTCAGGGGGGACCTCCTCGCCCTCACCGCTCAGGGACTTGCCGGTGCCGGCACCGATGCCCGTGGTGGCCGCGGCGGTCTTCGCTCCCGCGCTCGCGCCGGCCTTGGCTGCTGCGGCCTTGGCCGCAGCCGCAGCCGCGGCCGCGGACACGGGCTCGGCTCGGAGCGGCGACGCCGTGTAGGCGGCCCAGTCGCCCCAGGCGCTGCCGGTCAAACCGTCCTGTGACACGCGTGACAAGCGAAAACCTACATACGGGGCTCAGTGCAGCTCCGGAAGCAATAGTGTCGGGTACGTGGAGTTTCGTGCTCACGTAAAGATAAACATCATAATGCCGAAATATATACAGGCTCCCACAAAGGGAGCTGCGCGAAGGAACAAAAGCGATGTTTGACGTCCTTTGTTTTCAATGTGCCTACTTGCAGATGGTTTCTTGTACACCCTGGGATTTGTTGAGATCGAAACGAAAAAGCACAAAATGGCTGCCAACTTTTACGCCCTTGCAACTGCTGTGTAGGTCATGGGTAAGACATTCACCTGCCTGATTCGTGGGAGCCGATCTTCGGCTATGCCAAGCACAGCACCAGATTTCCAAAACACTATCAAAAGGTTGTCGCCCTAATAAGCTTAACATAGCTTAGCAGAATCACTTCCGGAACCGACCCCCCCATCAGAGCGGTGCCGGCAAATCACATAATTACCAGCGAACATGCGTGCAAACCTCAAACTACTAGAACTACCTTGGGGCGACCGAGGTACCGTGAACATTGTGAATATTTTTCCCACACCCACACACCCAGAACCAAAAAAGTGCATTGGCAACGCACCGTCCTGAAAGAACATGCCCATGGTGGCCATCATCGCAAGCCTTCCGTTGGCCAACTCCGCTGACAACTTCTTAGTCTTCTCATCAGGGTCCGAGGACGTCAGCACCTTGAAGCCATAATCGCCAGGAGTGCCCGTCTTGTAATCATCGAAGCCGCCGCTGAACTCAACGAAGCCGAAATAAGCGGCAATCTGGGCCCAACCACCCACGGGAACCTTGGAAATTGCCGCAAGGCCGTTGGGAACGTCGGCAAACTTCAAGCCCGCTGATGGGGACAGAAATCCCGGCCTTGGAGGCAACCAACATGTAAATGTAACCGCGCAACATGCGTCAAACACAAACTGTGACCCTCTGCTTTCGTGTGAGGACAGGACAGTTTTCCCGTGACCTCTGGAGTGATGTAGCCTCAGCAGCGAATGGTGCTTCATCAGGGAGACGTTACATCATCGCACAACACTGGTGATATTTGGCATGGAATGCCCGCGGGATCAGTAAATGCAATGGAGGTGGCCCATGGCAGCCATCATCGAGATGCGGCCGTGCTTGAGCTCAACGGAACGGCGGCGCTTGAATGAAGAAACATCACCGTCCGATGTGAAGCCGACAGGATCCCAAAAGCCGACCGGATCCTGAACACCGAGCTCGCTCTCGAAGGCACGCAGCGGGGAGGCGGTGTAGTTGGCCCAGTCACCCCATGCACTGCCGGTCAAGCCATCCTTCACACGATCAAATTTTCTTAGGCAATTGAACGCGACAGCTGACACAATGCTTTGACAAATGAATGCTGTGAATTGTCCTGAAAGAACATGCCGATGATGGCCATCATCGCAAGCCTTCCGTTGGCCAACTCCGCCGACAACTTCTTAGTCTTCTCTGCGGGGTCGCTGGAAGTCAAGACCTTGAAGCCGAAGTCACCGGCTGCGGCAGGAGTTCCGGCAGACTGATCCTGGGAGACCTCGCAGAATGCCATGTACGCCAAGATCTGACCCCAGCCTGCGGCAGGAACCTTGGAAATTGCCGCCAAGCCATTGGGGACATCGGCGAATTTCAAGCCTGCTGATGGAGACAAATAGCCAGGGAACTTGCCCGTGATCCTTGGTCAACTACACAACGGAACACGTAGGACACTGAACATTTCACTTGTGAACAAATCAAAGAGCACTCGGCGCCCGTTGACAACCTGCAGCCTAGTTGCTCCGGAGTAATGTATCCCATTGCTGCAAGCATCGCGATGCGGCCGTGCTTGATCTCAGTCTGGCGGCGACGCTTGAAGTCCTCCACGCTTCCGTCGGCCGTAAAGCCAGCCGGATCCCAAAATCCGACGGGATCCTGAACACCGAGCTCGTTCTCAAAGGCTCGCAGCGGGGAGGCGGTGTAGTTGGCCCAGTCACCCCAAGCACTGCCGGTCAAACCATCCTTCGCACAGACAACCCTGTACAACATGCATGCTCGCAGAAACACCCTAACATACCCTAACTGACGGCGCAATCGCGAATGCTTTGTTTCGACAAGCATGTGTTGTGACTGCGTCCTGAAAGAACATGCCGATGATGGCCATCATCGCAAGCCTTCCGTTGGCCAACTCCGCCGACAACTTCTTAGTCTTCTCAGCGGGGTCGCTGGATGTCAATACCTTGAAGCCGAAGTCACCGGCTGCGGCAGGAGTTCCGGCAGACTGATCCTGGGAGACCTCGCAGAATGCCATGTACGCCAAGATCTGACCCCAGCCTGCGGCAGGAACCTTGGAAATTGCCGCCAAGCCATTGGGGACATCGGCGAATTTCAAGCCTGCTGATGGGGAAAGATAACCAGGGAACTTGCCAGTGATCCTTGGTCAACTACACAACGGAACACGTAGGACACTGAACATTTCACTTGTGAACAAATCAAAGAGCACTCGGCGCCCGTTGACCTCCTGCAGCCTAGTTGCTCTGGAGTAATGTATCCCATTGCTGCAAGCATCGCGATGCGGCCGTGTTTGATCTCAGTCTGGCGGCGACGCTTGAAGTCCTCCACGCTTCCGTCGGCCGTAAAGCCAGCCGGATCCCAAAATCCGACGGGATCCTGAACACCGAGCTCGTTCTCAAAGGCTCGCAGCGGGGAGGCGGTGTAGTTGGCCCAGTCACCCCAAGCACTGCCGGTCAAACCATCCTTCGCACAGACAACGCCGTACAACATGCATGCTCGCAGAAACACCCTAACATACCCTAACTGACGGCGCAATCGCGAATGCTTTGTTTCGACAAGCATGTGTTGTGACTGCGTCCTGAAAGAACATGCCGATGATGGCCATCATCGCAAGCCTTCCGTTGGCCAACTCCGCCGACAACTTCTTAGTCTTCTCAGCGGGGTCGCTGGATGTCAAGACCTTGAAGCCGAAGTCACCGGCTGCGGCAGGAGTTCCGGCAGACTGATCCTGGGAGACCTCGCAGAATGCCATGTACGCCAAGATCTGACCCCAGCCTGCGGCAGGAACCTTGGAAATTGCGGCCAAGCCATTGGGGACATCGGCGAATTTCAAGCCTGCTGATGGGGAAAGATAACCAGGGAACTTGCCAGTGATCCTTGGTCAACTACACAACGGAACACGTAGGACACTGAACATTTCACTTGTGAACAAATCAAAGAGCACTCGGCGCCCGTTGACAACCTGCAGCCTAGTTGCTCCGGAGTAATGTATCCCATTGCTGCAAGCATCGCGATGCGGCCGTGCTTGATCTCAGTCTGGCGGCGACGCTTGAAGTCCTCCACGCTTCCGTCAGCCGTAAAACCAGCCGGATCCCAAAATCCGACGGGATCCTGAACACCGAGCTCGTTCTCAAAGGCTCGCAGCGGGGAGGCGGTGTAGTTGGCCCAGTCACCCCAAGCACTGCCGGTCAAACCATCCTTCGCACAGACAACGCCGTAAAACATGCATGCTCGCAGAAACACCCTAACATACCCTAACTGACGGCGCAATCGCGAATGCTTTGTTTCGACAAGCATGTGTTGTGACTGCGTCCTGAAAGAACATGCCGATGATGGCCATCATCGCAAGCCTTCCGTTGGCCAACTCCGCCGACAACTTCTTAGTCTTCTCAGCGGGGTCGCTGGATGTCAAGACCTTGAAGCCGAAGTCACCGGCTGCGGCAGGAGTTCCGGCAGATTGATCCTGGGAGACCTCGCAGAATGCCATGTACGCCAAGATCTGACCCCAGCCTGCGGCAGGAACCTTGGAAATTGCGGCCAAGCCATTGGGGACATCGGCGAATTTCAAGCCTGCTGACGGGGAAAGATAACCAGGGAACTTGCCAGTGATCCTTGGTCAACTACACAACGGAACACGCAGGACACTGAACATTTCACTTGTGAACAAACCAAAGAGCACACGGCGCCCGCTGACAACCTGCAGCCTAGTTGCTCCGGAGTAATGTATCCCATTGCCGCGAGCATCGCGATGCGGCCGTGCTTGATCTCAGTCTGGCGGCGACGCTTGAAGTCCTCCACGCTTCCGTCGGCCGTGAAACCGGCGGGATCCCAAAAGCCGACAGGATCCTGGACGCCGAGCTCATTCTCGAAGGCGCGCAGCGGGGAGGCGGTGTAGTTGGCCCAGTCACCCCATGCGCTGCCAGTCAAACCATCCTGGAAGAACCTCGACAGAAACAAGCAACTCGACTACATCAGCAAGGGCATTGCCGGCTCTTGCAAAAAAACATGCAGGAAGGGCAACAGCATGCAACAGCTTCAACACGCAGATGCAGCTCAAGCGCATGCCGATAATGGCCATCATTGCCAGTCGGCCGTTTGCCAACTCCGCGCTCCTCAATGGCGATGACAGTCTGGTAAAGTTTCTACGCCAAAGAGACAGCTCGGAAACCAAACTTTTCTTATCACAACCCAGGCTCAGCTTCTTGGTCTTCTCGGCTGGGTCGCTGGAAGTGAGCACCTTGAAGCCGAAGTCTCCCGCGTAGGCCGCGGTGCCCGGCTCCTGGGTCTGGGATGCCTGGCAGTCAACCGCTCATCTGAGGCCCACAGGCAAAGTGTCCAAAAGGCCCACCCTGAACCCATAGGGCCACAGCGATTCAATTCGTGCTACGGTCCCAATAGCCCCTGGCCTCGCAGTAGGCCATGTACAGAAGGATCTGGCCCCAGCCGGCCTGTGGGACCTCTTCGGCTTCAGCGAGTCTTCATGGGGGCTTGCGGGATCTTGGGGCCCTTTGAAGTTCTGCCTGGCTTCCGGCTTTTGGCCTCGCGGGGTGTTCAGGTGACCCAAGGCACCCCTTCCAAGCCGCCACTGCCCCAACAGAACTGTGTCGATCGGAAAGCCCTGTAGTCAGTCCAGCCCCCTGCAATCCCCGAGAAGCCCTATCCCTTTTGGCTGCGCCTTGGAGATCGCTGCCAAGCCATTGGGCACATCCGCGAACTTCAATCCAGCAGATGGGCTCAAGTAGCCCGGGAACTTGCCCGTGATCCTCAACCAGGCACTTGCTGCTGCTTGAAGCAGGCTCCAAACCCCAGAATCCAAGCCAGAGAGTGATTTGTCCAGACGACCAGCTTGTGCGCAGTACTTAAGAGGGAAAGCCGTAACCGAAGCCAGGCCCACAACGGAAATCGCCACTCTTTGTAACATTGACAGTAACCGCCCACGGTCCAGTCCAATGGGGCTTGGGTTGTGTTTTGGGGTGGGGTGGGGTTTGTGTTGAGGTTGAGGTATGTGTTGTGCATGCATGTTATGAACTGGAAGGATTTCCCGTTTGAGAATGATTTGCAAGTACGATGTAAGATGGTTGCCGACAGATTGCAGCAATCGCAAAACAGTCGCAACTAGGGAAGTGAAAAAAATGCGTAGCTACGGACTATGTATTAGAAGGTAGATAAAATGACCAGCACGAAGTTACAGCAGCTGACTGAACACACTTAACGACTGGAGGCCATGTCATATGGAGAGCAAAATGAAAGGGAGAGACTTGGCAGAATTGACAGGCGTGATATTTGGAGACATTCGGTATTCGGCCAGGCTGTATATCGAAAAGAACACATTTAATGAATATCTTAACGGTAAAGAGCATCAGTGTATGATAGAGAGCTTATGGAGTCAGAGGCGTTTCACATGGAAAAGATCCAACGTAAGGGACTGGCAGTTCGTGGAAACAATTCAAGTTCATAAAGCAAGGAAACATCAGGAAACTAACGCTGAAACCGGAATGGCTGAGTTCGGAAAGTCGGAAAGTATCTATGTACAGGACTACAGGACTCACAGTAGAATTCACGCGTGGAATCTGAATGGCTTGAGTAATGACTCAAGGCAGGGTGCTGACCAAAGCACCGGTTGCGGATTGAGATTGGTTGAGTTGGTTGGCTGGCTGGGGGCGGAGAAAGCTTCCGTTACTCGCCGCAGGTTTCTGTTCCGAGGCCCGGGCCCTTTCTTCTCGTGCTTCAACTGTTCCCCCGTTCGGGGTGTGCATCCTGTTTTTTCAAGGCTCCAAGCTTGTCCAGATGCTGCATCCGAGCTACTCTGGCGTAATGTAGCCCATCGTGGCCAGCATCGCCTCGCGTGTGCTGCGAGAGCTCTAACTCATTTCTCCGAACTGCCTTGCCCATTGGCATCTTCACATAATTCCCGCCTACTTCTACGACTCTACGACTCTAGCCTCTAGAAATCTGACCAGCGCAGGGCCGAAGATGCCGAGCCACAATGCGCCCGTGCTTGAGCTCCGTGGCCCGTCGGCGCTTGAAGTTCTCGACGCTGCCGTCCGCACCTGGGGAGGCGGAAGCTCTTGGAAGCTTCCGCTACACCTTTTGCCTGCACGTCTTCGCCGTTCCACCAGAGAAGCACAGGACTCCTAACCGAAACTTGGAGGAGACCGCGAAATTCTCAACAACTCTGGAACCACCTCGTGGTCACGCGTGTAACCCCCGGCACCAAACATCCCTTTCGACCTTACAACCTCCGCACCAGCCAAGTTGCTAAGGCCGGCGGGGTCCCAGAAACCCACGGGCGCCTGCACGCCCAGCTCACTCTCGAAGGCCTGCCGAGCATCCCGTCTTGTGTCTTTCGCAAGAACTGTTCTAGGTCAAGGTCTCATAGGGCTTATATAGTTCAAATCAATTAGGCCTGTACGGCTCATTTAAGACTTCAACATACTTCAACTTTATGACTCTATGTGGCCTGTAGGGATTGAGGGGCTCAAAGGCAGCAACAGTTCGGGTGTGTAGCTTCCCCTCAAAATGGCTCTTCGACTCAAGGAGTACTTGGAGACTCTGTGCCCTATGTATCCTGAAGCCCTGAAGTCTCCAAAGAACCTCGCTGGGTAGTGGATTCCTCTCACTCAAGTCCTGGCTTGGGCCCATTTTTGGCACATCGGGACGCTCAATGGACTGGTTGTGGCTGACCTGCCTTCCAGAAGGAGCTGGGGTTGCCGGCCCAGTAGCCCCAGGGGGATCCAGTGATTCCATCCTGGAAGAAGAGGCCAATGATGCCCACCATGGCCAGGCGGCCGTTGGCAAGCTCGGAGTTCAACTTCTTCTTCTTGATCTCCGGATCGTCGGAGGTGAGCACCTTCCAGCCGAAGTCCCCGTCGTAAGGCTTGGTACCGGGGTCCTGCTTCTGAGAGATCTCGCAGAAGGACATGTAGGCCAAAATCTGTGCCCAGCCTGCCACAGGCACCTTGCTGATGGCCGCAAGGCCGTTCGGGACGTCGGCGAACTTGATGTCCATGGACGGGGACAAGTAGCCTGGGAACTTGCCAGTGATCCTCAGCAGACAACACTCAGCTTCGCAGCCGTGCGATTACTTTCCTAAACACTCCAGGATTGTCCACTGAAGGACGTGAGTGCCGTTCTGAAACCATTTAATCAGACTGAGTGGCTCCGGGGTCATGTAACCCATCGTCGCAAGCATCGCCTTAAGGCTTGAAGTTGTAAGGCGAAACCCTCAAGCCTTAACCTGCAGTTGGAGCAGCCTCTTCAAAGTCTTCCGAGCAAAATCGGCGAAATTCAAAACAATGAAAACACGTCTTGTCCAGCAGAGACGGGTCGCGATTCTGCCATGCTTGAGTTCGGTGGCGCGGCGGCGCTTGAAGGCATCGACGTCGCCGTCCGCAGTGAAGCCGATGGGGTCCCAGAACCCGAAAGGCGACTGCACAGAAGCTGTTCAAGGCGGGCTTGCAAAACGTAAGCTAAACGAGCACTTCGTTCTCGGAGGCTCACGAGCAGGAAGAAGAAGCGCAAGCACGTGGCGCGTAGTACGAAATGAGCACGTACAGCACGTAGTACGCAGCACGTAATGCACTACGTAGGACGAAGTACGTAGGACGTAGTGCGAAGGACGTATATAGGGAGAAGGCGAAGCAATCCGTCCATTGGAATGCTTAAGACGAAGTTTAGGAATGTGACCCCTCGTTCCACAACCGACTGCCCGACAGAGGGGCGACCTGCACGCCGAGCTCGCTCTCAAAGGCGCTGACGACCACCTGGCACATACATGGGTACCCACATGCACATACCCACAAACAGTCGACCATCCTGTTCCCAAAACCCTAACGCCAGCACCTTTACGCCTGCACCCTGTTGGATCCACTGCACC